ACATCATATGCAACAGAATTTTCACTGATACATCACCTACGGCAACAGAAACAAAGAAAAAAATGAACACATGGGACTACATCAAACTAAAAAGCTTCTGCACAGTAAAAGATACAATCATCAAAATGGAAAGGCAACCCACTATATGGGAGAGCATAATTGCCAATGATATATCAGATAAGGGGTTAATTTCCAAAATATATAGAGTACTCACACAACTCAACAAAAGGAAGACAAAGAACCCAATTAAAAAATGGGCAGAGGAGCTAAATAGACACCTCTCCTAACAGGACATACAAATGGCCAAGAGACATGAAGAAATGCTCAACATCACTAATCATCAGAGAGATGCAAATTAAAACAACAACGAGGTATCACCTCATACCTGCCAGAATGGCCACCATGAACAAATCATCAAACAAGTGTTGGCGAGGGTGTGGAGAAAAGGGGACTCTAGTACACTGCTGGTGGGAATGCAGACTGGTGCAGCCACTGTAGAAAACAATATGGTGTTACCTCAAAAAATTAAAAATTCAATTGCCATTTGATCCAGTGATCCCACTTCTAGGAATATACCCTAAGAAGCCTGAAACACCAATCAGAAAGAATATATGTACCCCCATGTTCATAGCAGCACTATTTACAATAGTTAAGATCTGGAAACAGCCCAAGTGTCCATCAGTAGACAAATGGATCAAAAAGTTGTGGTACAGCCCTGGCCGGTTTGGCTCAGCGGTTAGAGCGTCGGTCTGCGGTCCCAAGAGACCCGGGTTCGGTTCCCGCTAAGGGCACGTACCTCGGTTGCAGTTTGTCCCCGGCTCTGCTTGGGTCGTGCGGGTGGCAGCCACTCGATGTGTCCCTTTCACATCGATGTTTCTCTCTCTCCTTCCCTCCCACTCTATCTGAATAAAAAATGGAAAAATGTCCTCGGATGAGTATAAAAAAAGTTGTGGTACATATACACAATGGAGTACTATGCAGCTGTAAGAAAGAAACATCTCTTATCCTTTGAGACGACATGGAGGGACCTGGAAAGTATTATCCTCAGCAAAACAGCCAAGCAGAGACAGACAAATATCACATGATCTCCCTTATTTGTGGAACATAATAAACATAACAGTCTGAGGAATAGGGTAGACCCAGAGACATGGAAGTAGGGTACAGACTGACAACCCTCAGAAGAGGGGGTAGTGGGGGGAGGGAAGAGATAAGACCACAGAACTTATATGCATGTATGTATACCGATGGACAAGGACAACAAAGCCGGGTATGGGGTGGGGGGATGGGGAGGAGGAGGTGTCAATGGGGGGAAAAAAGGAGAAACATCTGTAACAAAAATAATAAAACATTTTTAAAAAAAAGAAAAAAAGAAACATCCATTGGTTTCCTTCTGCATGTGCCCCAACCAGAGATGGAACCTGCAACCTGGGTATGTGCCCTAACCAGGAATTGAACCCGCCACCTTTTGGTGCACAGGACAATGCTCCAACCAAGCCATACCAGCCAGAGCTAGAGTGCCTACCTTTTTGCTAGACATCTTTGGCACTATTTGACATTTTAAACTGTGAATTTTTATTAATTTGATAAAAACAGAATCAAGGTTCTTAAAATATTTGAATTCAATAAAGCAAAAAATAGTTGTTAAAACTGAATGGTAGGTAGGTACATGGATATTTATTATTACCATTCCATGTACCTAACAATCTGATTAAAGTATGTCATAAAAGTTCAGCCTTTGGTAAACTAGTAAAATTGGAGACTAAACTCTAAAGGAAAAATATATGAAAAAAGTTATACCATATACTAGGACTGCTGCCCAATGTCATTAGGTATATAAACCTGTTATTTTAAAAATAGAAATCCTTGCCCTGGCCGGTTTGGCTCAGCGGTTAGAGCGTCGGCCTGCGGTACGGAGAGACCCGGGTTCGGTTCCCGCTAAGGGCACGTACCTCGGTTGCAGTTTGTCCCCGGCCCTGGTTGGTCGTGTGGGTGGCAGCCACTCGATGTGTCCCTTTCATATCGATGTTTCTCTCTCTCTCTCTGTTCCTCTCTCTGCCTCCCACTCTACCTGAACAAAAAATGGAAAAATGTCCTCGAGTGAGGAAAAAAATAAATAAATAAAAATTAAAAAAATAAAATAAAAATAGAAATCCTTAATATATTGAACTAGAGATGTGAAAAAAAATGTAGAAGTTCACTTTTCTAATTTTCACTGATCATTCACACTCTATGTTAAACACAACCCAACCTATTTACTACAGGGGGCAGTTTTAAATTCTTTGACATTCCTCTCATTCAGCACAGCACTGCTCCCTCTGCTGAAACCTGGACAGGCACCTGGACTGCCTCAAGGAGCCGAAAACAGCAGAAGTGAACCTGTAAGACTTCCAAGGCTCAGACAGAAGAGACCATGCAGCTGTTCCAGTTTCTCTTGGGATACTTCCCCTGGGATCCTCCTCCATATGGGAAGCCAAGCTACCCCAAGGCTTTGTGTAAATGTACCACAGCTTTTCTATCCACTCATCTATTGATGGACACTTGGGTTGTTTCCAGATCTTAGCTGTTGTAAATAGTGCTGCTATGAACATATATTCTTTCTGATTGATGTTCTAAATCATATTTTTAATGCAAAGCTCAAAATACACTTAGTGGAAAACAGATAAAACAGATTTGTAACTCCGGTAGACCACACAGAGTGCTGCCTTCTAGAGAAGAATCTTCCTTTCTGGAACGTATATGTTTCCATGAACTTCTTTAAAATTGTATCCTGAAGTTGTATTTAGCAATGCCAAAAACAATGAGCTTATTTATGTTACTTGAAAAAAAATCCACCAATCCATTTTTGATACTGTGTAGACTGCCGATTTACTAAATTTTCAACTAGATGCTAAAACGCTCCAGAACAAATGTAAGAAAGGTGAAACAGGAAAACTCTTAAAAGTAACGAGCAAAGCTTCTAGCATCCTAAGATATCAATTATAAAAAGCCAATTACTGTCAAGTTTTCTTTGATTCTTTTATGGAAATAAATGATTCTTCACCAACTTTCCCCCTTTCAATAAAAATCTTTGTGTGAACACTCTTAAATTAGAAATTTTTACAACATAAAGACGTCACCAGGTTGCTGCAGGGGCCATGCGGATATGTTCTTAGTAGCAGAAGTACAGTGATAACTACTATCTCATTTACTGTATGTTGAGCATAAAAGTCACTAGTCTGGAGACCCCTTAAAACACCAAAAAAAATAAAAATAATAAAATTAAAATTAAAAAAATAAGATCAAAGTACTGGCAGGTTAACAATCTCTCCCTTAAAAATAGTAGCACCCCTGGTTTAGCTCCTTCAGTTTATATACACACCACTTTAATCAGCTTGCTCTCCACCTAAGAAGATGATTTCAAAATTAATGAAGAAAATAGGAGTGTTAAATTTGGAATAGTATGCATAAAAAGAAGTTTGGAAAATCAAACTATTTTAAATGACAGAAATGTGGAAGATTTCACTGATCAACAAAAACTTGACAGCAATTTTTACAACTAATGAGATGAAAGAGAAAATATTTTATTGTAACCAGTATGATCACCAATAATAATGCTTTTTGTACAGCAGCTATAATGTGCCAGGCACCTATCTAAGCACTACACACACATAAGCTCATTTATTCCTCAGAATATCCCCAACAAGTACCTACCCTAACAGTTCCATTGTTTAGATGAGATCAAGATACAAAATGCACCAATGTTCATGGGGACGATGAGTGAGATAGAGCTATGAAAGCTAAGACAAGAATAACAAACTCTCAGATGACTTACACTTCACTGTCATCGACATTGAAAGTTAATCTTATTGACAAATATTGAACAGTTACATCAATATTATCATTATAATGTAATATAATAAAAGAGAAACTAAAATAAAAGAGATAAGGAATACTAAAAATCTGAATCCCACCCTGGCCAGTTAGACTCTGCAACTAGGGCATCAACCTGCGGACCAAAGAGTCTCTCAGGTTCAATTCCCAGTCAAGGGCACATACAGTTCAATCCCCAGCCCTGGTTGGTGTGGTGCAGGAGGCAACCAATCAATGTGTCTCTCTCACATCAATGTTTCTCTCTCTCTCTCTCTCTCTCTCTTCCCCCCTCCTTCCCTCCCTCCCTCCCTCCCTCTCTCTCTGAAGATCAATGGAAAAATATCTTCAGGTGAGAATTAAAAAAAAAAATCTGAATCCCTGTGGCTCTTCTATACAAGGGAATTCCAAATACTATAGTTAATAAATATAAGAAATAGTTCTAAATTACATAGCAACCATTTCTGTAAGATTGACTTCAGTAACATAATTCTCAGATTCATTTATCAAAGAACCTTAAAATGTTATGACAGACTTTATTCAAAACTCAAAGGTACTTCTGGAAAGGAAAAGAGCCCAAGTCCTAGAGAAAACATCAATGACCTATTTTATAATATAGCCTATGAAGATTTATCTTGCTTTGAGGATGAGTGAAAATCATGCAAAGTCTAAACTTCTATTCTAGCTGTATTAGCTGTGTGCCACAAAAACAAGAATAATTTCTATTAGTCGTCTGCACACATTTCATTCCAATAAAGTTCTTTCAAATAAATACACAAAAAATAAAGTTTATCTTTTTTCCTTCAGGTTGCTATAAATAGCCTAAACCTTTCTAACTCTAATACGCATTTATTCACCTCACTTTTACTCCTTCCTTCAAAAAGAAATGACAATTCCATTATTGACTATAATCCTATTAACTGGATATTTACAATTCACTTGCTAAGTAACTTGCTAGAAGGTGAGACTACACACACACAAAAATTAATATGATCCTTCCTCCCAAAAAATTAACCCTGTTTTTCACATGTATATGCATGACACACTGGAAATCACAAGCTTGAGCAAACCACTAGGAATCACGTGGAGGTGCTCCTCAACTCGACAGCTGTTTTCAGTTCATCCAGCGAGGTGCAGAGAGCTGCACTGCCTACCTGCATCAGCTCTGGACCGCTGGCCAGGTGTCTTCCCGAATGGGGTCTTCATTCATCTGTATTTAAGTGAGCAGCAGAGCTGCTGAACTAGGGTGAAAATTCAGTATGCTCCAATGTGAAACTGCACAGAACTTCAGCGTTCTTGTTAATCCATCATCGAAGTGCCTCTTTCACAAGTTCAGCAAAAACACATGAAATCATAAGCACTCTGTAAAACAGTGAAATAACAGTTCATTACTACAGCATCACAAGAGCAAAATTATCCAAGCAAGCCATCAAACATGACATCACATTTTAAGGATAACATTAGCTAAAATGTATCCTGCCCAGAAGCAATTACCTTTATTTCCTCAGAAGTGAGTGCCCAGGACAACTCACAGTCAAGTAAAAAAAGGCAGTACTAGAGCCTTCAAAGAAGAAGCCTGGGGGGGGGGGCATTTGCAAGACCCCAAAGTACAGTTCTTTAGAGGTCAACTGAAACACAATATAGCCCCCTGCTTCACCCACTGTAACTCCACCCATTTTGCTGCCAGAAGTCAGAAAAAGGTGCTGCTGGGTGTCAGGAAAGATTTAGACCGGCTTGGCCCATCTCCTTGATGGGAGACAAACACCCATCGACCCATAGCATGAAGGCAGTGACATGTGAGGTCAGGGCAGAGTAATGATACATTTTTTTTTAATCCTCACCCGAGGACATCTTTGCATTTATCTTCAGATACAGCGGGAGGGAGAGAGGGGGGAAGAGAGAGAGAGAGAGAAACATCGATGTAAGAAAGACACATCGACTGGCTGCCACCCACCCGACCCCAACCAGGGCCAGGGACAAACTGCAACCGAGGTACGTGCCCTTAGCGGGAACCAAACCTGGAACTCTCTGGTCCACAGGCCGATGCTCTAACTACTGAACGAAACCAGCCAGAGCACAAACTAATTTTTTTTTTAATAATTTTTCTTTATTGATTTTATAGACAGAAGAAAGGAGATAGAAACATCAATGACAGAGAACATCAATTGGCTGCCTCCTGCATACATACCCCCCACTGGGAATCGGGCCCACAACGTAGGCATGTGCCCTGGCCGGGAATCGAACCAACGACCTCTTCTTGGTGCATGGGTCGACGCTCAACCACTGAGCCACACAGGTCGGGCTAACTGGTACAAATTCTTAACCATATAAAACTTTTATATTCAAGGAAAATAGATTTAAAAGTGAATACATTGTATAATTCACTCATTCCATAAATGTTCACAAGTGCCTACTGTTTGGAGGTTATGTAGGAGGGGAGAAACTGTACACCAATAAGTAAGGAAAACCGTGTCTCAAGTGGCAATAACTAATACTGAGAAAGACACAGAAGCAGCACCTTTTCTGGAGGTGACTCTTCCCAGTGCAAGGTCCCAAGTGCTCTTTCCTAAGAGCTGCACCTGCTTGCCTCACAGCACCAAAGACTTTAGCAGACTAAGCAGAGGGCAACGCTGTGAGGACAACAGGCTGGTCACCCACTTTCCCTAAGAGTCCATCAAGAAGCCTCGCAAGCCTCGCATCCCTCTACCTTGATCAGCACCACACATCTCAGCTTCCTTAAACTCCCCCCACAATGAGCTATCCTTACCTACTGCTATCCCACCGCCTTCTACTCCTTGTCTGCCCAAACCTCTCCAAGGGCCTTCTGGAAGGCAGTCTGTCTGTAGCAAAGTCTGCCTAGGTCCCTCTTACGCCCAGCAGCTCTCTGCTGTAGAAAATATCCCCACTGTCTAGACTACACACTCTCTCCCACCTGAACACCCCACATGAAGGCACGTGTCACAGCACCAGTAATGACAGCCACCCCTTTTGCTGCCCCTTTTTCCTACTAATCCTGTCTGTACACACTTTGAGGACTTTGGTACCTGCTGTACCTCTTTTTCCACCACTATCATCACATTCTTGGTGACATTGATCCTTTCAACAACCTGCCCCCTCAATTCTTCAACATCCTCACTTCACACTATAGACTCCCTCATAAGCCACCTGTCTCAGGTCACAACCACTCATCACCAATAACTGCAATACCCCTGGAATCTTTGTTTCAAATACCTTACACTCAAAACCACCTCTGATCATTCCATTCTCCAACACTAACACCCTCACCCAAACAATTATTTGATGCAACCATCACCTCCATCATGACCACTTTTCCACTGTCCTAATTCAGTGCAGATTCCATGGATTGTCAACCACTATAGGGACTCCTTGCTTTTCTCCATTTTCTCCTTCTTCTTCCTGTCACTTTATGCTAAAACCGTGAACTGACTCCCTGCCTGCATGTCCACAATTTAAGCTGATAAGTGTGGTTGAAAAACTGCTAATTTATAATCTCATGTCCAAAGTGAGCATTCAAGAATACTACCCTGATCTCAGCAGATAAGCTGGCTACATGCTAAGACAACAGAAGCAAAGAAATACCTTCCCACCACCAAGTTTATCAACTGACTGCTAACCTCTGCTGCTACAGTAACAGATGAACTAGGTTTAAAGTCAACCCTTTCACCTATCTTATCTAACCCCTCTGTCTTCTGCATCCCTTTTTCTCTCATCACTAGAATCCATTAGCATACAATAATACATGAAATAGTATTTCTGAACGTTAAAAATATCCCATGAGCCCTGGCCGGTTTGGCTCAGCGGTCAGAGACCTGGGTTCGGTTCCCACTAAGGGCAAGTACCTCAGTTGCAGTCTGTCCCCAGCCCTGGTAGGGGTCGTTTGGTGGCAACCACTCCATATGTACCTTTCACATCGCTGTTTCTCTCTCTCTCCCCCTCCCTCCCTCTCTCCCCTACTCTATCTGAATAAAAAATGAAAAAATGTCCTGAGATGAGGATAAAAAAATAAATAATAAATTTTTAAAAAATCCCATGACACTGCTCCTTTTATCTACTTCTCTTCACAAGGCTACTTCAAAGACTGAGGAATACTTTAATTCCTCAAATTCAATGTACCCTATCTTAATAAGTTACATTGGTTCTGTAACAAGAATAATTTAGCTTACTAATCTTCTAACAGGTATTCACCCTGCTCTCTAGGATATTTAAGCTTACCATTTTCTACTGCTTACCCCTTTATTAAAATTTTCAGGTTGAACTTGTTACTTTTAAAAAGTACAGCCCTTGCCCAGCTGGTGTGGCTCAGTGGATTGAGCATCTTTCCATGGATTGAGAGGTCCCAGTTTGATTCCGGGTCAGGGCACATGCCCTGGTTGTGGGCTTGATCCCCGGGGGGGGGGGGAGGGGGGGTTGCAGGAGACAGCCAATCAATGTCTCTCTCTCTTAAAAAAAAAAATTAATAAAACATCTTTTTTAAAAAAGAGACTAATGTGAGATGAGAGACTCAATGAGTAAACCCTGAATGAATGGTTTGGAGGGAAAAAAAGTTAGGAGATATTTAAGACAAATGGGAAAATTTAAATAGGGGCTAAACAGTATTTAAAATTATGTAATTATCATTAACCTTTAAAAGCATAATTACATTGTGGTTATGCGTGAGAATATTCTTGTTTTTAGGAAATGCATGCTGAAATTTCTAGAGGTAGAATGTCATCATGTCTGCAGCGAACTTCAAATGGTTCACCCAAAGAAAACAATGTATACATAAGAATTCAGTGAAAATGAGAAAAATATTAAATTTTAAATCTAGGTGAAGAGCATACTAATGTTCTTCTTTTAACTTTTATTTCAGACTTCCGGTCAAGATGGCGGGTAGGTAAACGCGGTATCCGTCCTCCCACAACCACATCAAAGTTACAACAAAACTACAGAACAACCATCATTCAAAACCGCCTGAAATCAAGCTGAATGGAAGTCGTACAACTACGGAATTAAAAAAAAAAAAAGAGCAGCTACATCCAGACTGGTAGGACGGGCAGCGCGGTGGCGGCGAGACAGGCTGGTCCCACACCCAAGCGTGGTGGATAAAAATCAGGAGGCTCCCGCGGCTGGGAAAGTCCTTCCTGAGGACTGAGGGGTCCCCGTCCCACACCAGGTGCCCCGTTCTGGGTTCCAGTGCCAGGAAGAGAAGTCCCCATAACTTCTGGCTGGAAAAACCAACGGAAACTGAGGCTCAGGGAAGCTGAAGTGGCTGGAGCCCCAGGCAGCTCCTTAAAGGGCCCGCACACGGACTTATCGGACTCTCTCCCTCTAAGCTCGGAGGGGAGGCAGCTCGAGGGGCACCAGAGACATACAGGGAAGAACTGAGCTGTTTGGCACTGGAGCGAGGGCTGGAGAGGGGGCTTCCTCGGGGACAAACGTGCTGTAAGAGGCCTTTGTTCCTTTGGTGAGCCCTTCCCGGGGGCGGCAGACAGAAGCCATATCTGGGACTCCAGCAACCTGGCTCACACTGGTAGCCCCGCCCTGCTGACTCCCTGAGTCCCCGCCCCACCCCACCCAACTTTCAAGCCCACCCAAGCTGTTGCCACTTGCTTAACCATAGGATTGGCCTGTCTTGGATCCTGCTTCAGGTTTTTCCTAAATTCTTTCAAATGAGCAGCGTCGGGTCTCAGCGAGCCCCATACCTCTCATTAAGTAATACACAGAAACAAACACAGGGAGGCAGCCAAAATGAGGATACAAAGAAACAGGTCCCAAATGAAAGAACAGAACAAAACCCCAATAAAAGAACTAAGCGAAATGGAGATAAGCAACCTAACAGATACTGAGTTCAAAATACTGCTTATAAGGATGCTCAATGAACTTAGTGAGAACCTCAGTGAAGTTAGTGAGGGCCTCGAGAGCATACAAAAGGACCAGTTAGAAATCATGGATACACAGTTAGAATTAAAGGAGGCATTAACTGAAATAAAGAATAATTTACACAGCTTCAATAATAGAGTATGTAAATCCAAGGAGCAAACCATCGATTTGGAATATAAGGAAGCAAAAAATCCCCAATCAGAACAGCAAAAAGAAAAAAGAATCCAAAAAACTGAGGATACTGTAAGGAGCCTCTGGGACAACTTCAAGCGTGCCAACATTCGCATCTTGGAGGTGCCCGAAGGAGAAGAGAGAGAACAAGAAATCGAAAACCTGTTTGAAACAATAATGGCAGAAAACTTTCCTAACTTGGTGAAGGAAACAGACATACAAGTCCAGGAAGCACAGAGAGTCCCAAACAAGATGCACCCCGAGAGGCCCACACCAAGACACATCATCATCAAAATGCAAAAGGTTCAAGA